CGCCCCTCCTGGGATCATCCTCCCTGGGCTGGGCCTCCCTTTTCTTTCCCTCCTGAAACAGGGAAGGATTGAGATGTGTGTTGATGGAGAAGGAACTCCCCAAGGAGGTCATCACAGATCTCGGACGCAAGTGTGGATTTTGAACAGTTTTGGTCTTTCTCTGAGAAGGAAAAAAGAGAGAAAAAAATGACCAGCTTTGCCTTCCGTCTGATTTCAGAGCTGATCCTCCCATCAAGTCCAACTATATGGAGAACACAAATCCATGCAACACAAACATCCTGAGTTAGGATTTAAATGTCCTCCTACAATTGCTTGATTCAGTCAGAGTTGAAGCTCTGGATTCATGTACATGTCACTAACTTAAGGGAATAAACAATATGAATTTACTCATCACCTAGCTTGTTGCCTATTTAACTACCTTTCAGGTGGACACAAATAAATACTAAATGTTGGCTGTCCCTCTGGGGTTGAGGCCACAGCCACCATCAGGCAGATCACAAAGATCTGAGTATGGAGGGAGATGTGGGGAGGGGGAGGGTGGGAGGCCCTTTCTAGGGGTTCTTGCTGAAGCCCCCTCTTCTGCCTGAGGCCTTTCCTCATCCCCCCAACCCACAGCTGAGAGGCCCCTCCTCCCCCAGCTCCCTAGCATTTCTCTGGGTTGTAGTTCCCCATTCAGGGGCATCTGGGCTCCTCCAATAGAAGGAAAGCACCTTGAGAACAGAAGCTGCTCCTGTTTGTTATTGTGCCCCCAGCCCCTGGCACAGTGCCTGGCAGAAGGTATGTGCTGAACACTTGGTTATCCTATGATTGTTCTGTGCATTTGTAGTACCTGAGGATGTTGTCCAAACTGTGGGGCCTAAAGGAATTCTGAACTGTCCCACAAAAAGGGAGAGCATTGGGGGTTGGCCCTTTCCATCTGTCCCCAGCTCAGTAGGAGGGGTTGGGAAGGGAGCATCAGCAAAGCCACCCCCAGGCCACAGAGCAGGAGACCAAGAGCTTAGGGGCCAAGAGCCCCAGGGGGCATTTGCAGCCCAGCTCAGCCCCAAACTCATTCCAATGTCTCCCTCTGGTGGCTGCAGGGTCAATGGCAGCCCCAGGGAAGGTCAGGAGAACTCAGCATAAGGGCTTTTTGACCCTTGAGTCATGATTGAATGCCCATGCCCATTTCTGGCCAAGTTCTCTCATTCGTCCTTTTCTCTCCCCACTTTCTGTTCTTTTCTCTTCATCTCTCTCTTCCTGTCTAATAAGGGACTGTTCTCCTCTGGGCACCTTCATTGTCTGAGGCTGACCCCCACAGGGCCTCATTACTGACTCTTCATCCACTGTTAAATGGGTCATTGTCTGTAGTAAGATGAAAGCATCTGTCTTGTTCATTCAGTAGGCATCCTATGGCTCAGGGGTGTAGAAATGACTGATTTCAGGAGAACCAAGGCATCCAAGACTGAGAGAGAAAGATTGGGAGAAAGAGAGACAAATGGCTTTCTTGAAATAATTGTTTGGACCTTGGAACCACCTCAGAGAATGTGGAGAGGATCATTCAGTTAGGTTACAGAGGAAAGCATATAGAAGCAGGGGGAGAACCCGACTCTTCAGGGTCAGGAGAGCTGGGATCAGGGATGGTGCTAGGCTTAGCTCAGGCTGAGGGCTGACCCAAAGACGACCAAGCCTGAGGGATCTCCAGGTCACACTCACCTCAGACACACCTGACTTCTGGTCTCCCTTTCTTCCTGTACCAGAAGAGGTGGGCACAGACGGGAGTGGGAAATCTCCCTACTGTGAGACGACAGAAGTCTTTGTCATGCCCCTGATTATGGACTATAGAGTTTCCTGCCCGGTTAAGTCACTCTGAGAAGAGGATAGAAGCTACAGAGGGCATTAGGGAGAGGGAGAGTCATTATCCTGTCCCTTGGCCTCAGGAAGCATCCTTAGGCCTTGGTTGAGGGCATGCTCTGACCCCTCCATACTTCCTCTATCCATGAAAGGCTGTGGGCTACGCTCTGTCCCTCTGTGCTTGGAAGAGACCTATGGCAGGCTTTGTGCCTCTGAGGCCGGAATGGGCTGGCTGAGGTTGGTGGGGATGAATCTTTCAGAGACCTGGAGAGCCCAGGGCCAGGGAGGAACTGGCTAGCTGGCATCTTCACCAGGCATTGCAAGGCAGGCTGTGGACCACCAAGGGGACTGTGGTTCTCTGGGCTTAGGGCAAAGAGGGCGGCCATAACGAGCCAGCTAGGACACCCTCATGGTCTCCTCTAAGCCTCTCCAAGGGCTAAGATAAGTCTTCTGGGCACTTCTCAGGGGAGCTCACCTGTAATCTGTCTTTGGAGTCCCCTGGTATTTCAGGGAGCCATTTTATATTCATCAAGTTGTGTGTCCAACACATTCCCTGCCCGCACAGAGCTCCCTCTCTAACGGGGCAGACAACAAGTAAACAGCCATGTACCTACAGGAGACCATCAGGGTACAATGGAGACAATCACAAACGGACTCAGGCACCTGGAGGAGATTGGGGCTGGGTCTTGTTGTGGTTCATCCCAATTTACCGCCACAGCTCAACCAAAGTAAGAAAGAACAATCTCTCAGCATTGTTCCCAGCCCATAGTATAACAGCTCTGGAAGGTAACTGGAGGAGAGCCCCACACATTCCCCTCACAGTCACAAGGAAAGCCCTGCTGTCCCAAGGGGATGAGGTCCAGGGGACTTTGCACCTAGTGAGTGCTCAATAAATGACTTATTCCTTCATTCTTTTTTCATCACTGCTCTATCAGTGCCTTCTGATCCCTCCAACCACAACCTGTGAGTGCCATAGCCTCATCAAATTCTGCTGTGTTTGTCTATTTCCTTTGTATATATTTACCACATGCTAATAGAGTGGCACTTTGTGTCCCCACATAGAATGTAAGCTCCCTGAAGGCAGGACCTGTCTCAATACCTAGAACAGAGCCTGAACATGGCAGGTGCTAATAAACAGTTAATTGGTGGAGCTGCTCAATCCAGGGCAGCCAAGGGATCTGTTATAATTTCCTTAGGCACCTTCAAGATCAGCTCCCTATTTGCCATTTTTGTTTTATGGTTTTAGCCCAGGCACTATTCTTTTTTTCTTTCTTTCTTTCCTTCCTTCCTTCTTTCTTTCTTTTTTCTTTATTTGTTAATCCCTTCCTTTCTTTCTTTCTTTCATTCTTCCTTCTTTCCGTCTTTTTTCATTCTTTCTTTCCTTCTTTCATTCTTTCCTTTTTTCATTCTTTCTTTCCTTCTTTCATTCTTTCTTAATAGTTTTTCCCAATTAGATGTAAAGATAATTTACAACATTCATTCTTGTAAGATTTTGAGTTCCAAATTTTCTCCCTCCCTTCCTTTCCTCCCCCTGTCCCCAAGAAAGTGAGTGATCTGATATATGCTATATTTGTGCAATCATGTTAAACATATTTCCACATTAGTCATGTCATGAAAGAACAATCAGAACAACAGGGAATAACACAAGAAAGAAAGAACCAAAAAACAAAACCAAGAAAGTGAAAACAGCATGCTTCCATCTGCATTCAGACTCCATAACTCTTTCTCTAGATGTGGGTAGCATTTTCCTTCACCAGTCATTTTAACTTGTTTTGGGCCATTGTATTGCTGAGAAGAGCTAAGTCTGTCAAAGTTGTTCATCACTGAGTGCTGCTGTTACTGTCACAACGTTCTCCTGGTTCTGCTCATTTGACTTTGCATCAGCTCAGGTAAGTCTTTCCAGGTTTTTCTGAAATCCTCCTGTTCATCATTTCTTACGGAACAATAGTATCCCATTACATTCATATACCACAGCTTGTTCAACCATTCCTCATTTGATGGGCATATGTCCGTAAAATATCAAGATACGAAAAGTCCCATTATTCTTCATCGTGTCTGGTTCAAGACACTTTGTCTTTGGTAGTCACAAACAGAAGAAAGCTCCTGATCAGCTTCATGTGTCCTTGTAGCTGTTGACACAGGAAGGGGCATTTTGGGTTCACTCAGACAGCAAAGCAAAGCATGTCTGTTATGCCAGAACTCAAAAAGCATTCTGGGAGGTTAAGCTCAGAGTGGGCCAGAATATCTCTCCTAATTGGCCAACCCAGGTTTTAGGTCTTTCTCAGGTCTTGAGGATTCAACATGGTTTGAGGCGGGGTGTACACACAGCTACTAAGTGTCTGAGCTGGATTTGAATTCAGGTCTTCCACACTAGAGGCCCAGCACTCTGGATTAGAATGATCATACATAGAGGAGATCTGGGTTGGAGGGGAAACAAAGGTGAGGGTATTGAGAGAATAGCAGACACAAGGCTGGAAGAGGGAAAGATACCAAAGTCACAGAAAAATCTTAGATCTCATAATATTAATAAACAGGATTGAGGAAACCTCAACAACCACCTGCCAACATGACTGTTACCCCATGTAGACAGTGGTGGGAGCTCAGGATCAATGGACCAATCAATGATTCATCAATGAAGTGCTCCTGGTCTGGCAATTAATGAGGAAGCCCCAGAAGCTCCTCCTGGAAGCCTTTCCTGATTCCCCAGGGGCCCCACCCCGAGGTTACTCTGTGTTTTCTAGATAGGTCTTCTGCATTTTCCCATCTGTGCCCATTGTGCTTTTCCTCTAGCAGGATGCCCCTTAGGCACCTCTGCCATCAGAGAGTCAAACCTCCTTACTCTGGACTCTCTGACCAGAGGCAGCAGGCCTGGGAAACCGGAGGAGGGGGCAGGCCCAAGGCTGGAAACCCTGTAGAGGAGGGGGCAGGGCCAAGCTAGATCTCTTCTGGAGGAGGGGGGTATCTCTAGATCCACTGCAGCCTGAGCCAGCTGGGGGATCAAGGCATAGGAGGGAAAGGTCTGTGTTTGAGAAATGAGGGAGTTTTCTTCAAAGGATCAAGAGTGAGTGGAGAGCATGCAGCCCCCTGAAGGCTGTGCCTGGGCCCAGCAGGGAAAGGGAGATGAAGGAGAGGGGCTGAAGGCCCAGGGGACAAACAGGGGTTTGTGTCTCACTTCCTCATCTCTCTCAATCACTGTGAGCTTTGGTATTATCATCAAAGGACAGACAGTAATAATCAGCCTCATCCTCAGCCTGGACCCCAGAGATGGTTAAAGTGGCCACTTTATTGCTGCTGGAGCCAGAGAATCGGTGAGAGACCCCCTCTGGTCTCTCCTTATCATTGTAAATGAGTAACACAGGAGTCTGGCCCCATTTCTGCTGGAACCAATTGGCGTACTTCTCATCCAGCTGATTCCCTGCACAGGTGAGGGTGGCTGTCTGACCCAGGGTCACAGACATGGAGGGAGCCTGGGTCAGCACATAGGAGGCCAGAGAACCTGGAAGGAAAGCAGAAAAGACCTTGTGCTGGGGCTCAGCACCTTGGCATTGTGTGGAGGGGAGAGATCTTCACTGTAGTAGCCCCAGGGTGAGCTCAAGGTCAGGGCCAGGGCCCTGGAGGGGCTGAGTGCCAGGGAAAGGCACTGGACACCTACCTGTGCAGACAGTGAGGAAGGTCAGGAGGAGAGGAATCCGGGCCATGGTGGAGACACCCCCAGAACTCTGCTTCCTCAGGCCCCACAGCTGGGTCTGGGTGGCCCCAAGTCTGTCTTATAGAACCAGGGGTGGGACTGTCATAGAAATCACTTCCCCTCCCCTCCCTTCATGTACCAATCCCTTCCTTTTGCCCATGTTCAGAACTGTCCGCAGGCCTGGGTGGGGTTTCTGGCTGAACAGCCCTTAGTCTGCCCCCTAGGAGGGGCTGGGAAGGAAGCACCTGCCAGGGGTTCACACAGACCAGAGAGCCCTAGGCAGGGTCCTCGGGGACTGAGAGCTCTTTGCTTCATGGCCAGCCAAGCTGAGCCCCATCCTCAGGCCAACAGCTCCCTCTGGTGCCCCTCTGCTCCATGGCAGCTCCTGGGAGAGGTAGGAGACAGGCTGTTGAACCCCTGTACCAGCACAGAGGGCCATCCTCTCACCTCCAGAGGCACTAGGCCAGGCAGATCTTGGAAGGACTGGAGCCCTATTGGCTAGTCCGCCATGATGGAATGGATGGAGATCTGTGTAGGGGTGGACAAGGGGGGTGAGGGCAATCATGGGATGACCTCACTGTTCTTAGTAAAGGAGAGGGCAAAGTCATCTTCTGAGGGAAGAGGTGGGGGCTCGAGGAGTGTGGGGGAAATGGAACAATCTTCTGGGGGATTGAGATGAGGAATCATGGGGAGACTTGCCAATGATTTCCCAAAAGCTTCCCAAAGCTCTCCTGCAGCCCCAGGGCAGTGATGGCAGCAGATGCTTCTGGAGCTCTCCGTCCACCGATGGAGAGGGAGGGGGGATCAAGCATCTGAAGGGGATTGAAGGGATCTCTGTGCTGGTGCTAAGGTAGGATTCTCCTGCTTTGCTGTTCTTGGATCTGGGTCACAGTCCTGGTTGGCAGTCCTGGGGTGAAGAGGAGTAGTGGCATGGCAGAACTTGTGGTGGTGGAGGAGAGGGAATCTTCCTCACAGATCCCTGATAAAAGAATCTTATAAAGACTTGAGGGTCCAACCAAAAAATGAACTGTTCCGCCTTTTAAAATGATCAGACACATACTTTGGCAAAGGCAAAATAATTTCATTTCCTTTTCCATTATCCATCTAATTTATGTGTAAAAGTCCAATTTTGAGAACTTGTTAGAGAAAAACGTGTTCAAAACCTGAAATTCCATGTTAGATAAATTTTGGAAGCCAACCATATTCATGTGTATGCAGTTCTTAGAGAAAACAGTGTAATCCTATTGCTTTTCTCAAAATTTACTATTCCATTTAATTAGAAAAGTATCTTTTCACATCTTTGCTTATTACTTTGTTTAATCATTTCCCCCTTAAGAGGATATCACCCTTATATTATTCTTTGATCCCAAATATAGGTTAAAATTGTAACATATTCATACTTGAATCCTATTATAGTACTCAGAGAAATTCCAGCATCAATCTATTATTAATAGATTTAATATTGTATCACAAAACTTCTTGATTATAGTAATTTGCTATGAAAGGAAAAACAGGGATATAGTTATGATAGAATCACATATCATAACAGAGGAAAAAATCTTCCTTAGCTCTGTTTGATTCCAGCCACGAATCAAATCTGACAGCCAATCACGTAGTCATAAAATTTTCAAAGCAAGGCTCGGCATTAATCAGGCAGGAATTTTCCTTTTCGGAAAAGAGATAACATAATGTGGAAATCATGTCAGGAGGATCTCACCTAGGCCGTGCCTTAGTCATCCCCGAAAACTTTCCCAGCTACAGACGACCACCTTTAGCAGTTCCCAGACTGCAGCACACACTGTTTTCTGTTACTGGCTTCATGAAAATTCAGAAGGCTATCTCTGTAATGAAAGCTCAAAACAATAGTAAATGACAGTCCCAAGAATTTGTGCTTTATATATGAAATTTCACTAACCACAACTTAGGGCTTGGCTATCTTTCCTGATGTTTCTCTAATGTTCACATTTCATTTATCCTTTACTTACAAATTAAAACTACCCATCTTCTGGGGCTTCAGACCTACCACAAATACCTGATTGTTGACTCATCATTAATGTGTTGAAGCTACATCTTCAAACCACCCTATGCACTTTCATAATACCCAAGAATTTTGAGTGAAAATTTGCTATTGTGTATTATTATCTTCTGCTTTATAACAAAATATACCTCATTAAATATTTAACAATTTCAAAGTATCTTCCCCCCATCACATCCTTTTAAGAGCCCAATTCATAATCTAATAGCATCCAGATTAAAAGTGAAATTTTAGTCTCACAGCATTTCTGGTTTGCAATGTTATCTCAGTTTTTGCGATACAAATTTATGAATGCAATACAGTTTAGAAATACAACAATAACACAAAGAATAGACTTCCGATGACATCAGTTGCATTTGCAAGTTATCACATTCAAAATAACTCATTGGAATGAATACCTTTGGCATTTTAAAACTAGTTTAGAGTTATCAAGTATGGAACAATTACATTCAATTAAAGAAATAATAATAATAATAATAATAGAGTGCTCTGTATATGCAAGTCAATGTGTTAAGCACTCTACCATCTCACAGCAGCAACCCTGGGAGGTGGTACTGGTATTATTTTTCTCCTTAGAGATCACAAAAGTGGGGCAAACAGAGATAAGATAACTTGCCTAAGATTACACAGCTGATAAATTTCTGCAGCTGGAACAGAGAAGGGTGGGCACACAAAGGGCAGTGGCTTGCTGGCTTCCCCGGCCTCATCGTGCCACACTAGGGGCTGCCAGGGACACCCAGACCCCCCAGGCAGCAGCATGGTGGGACCTGTCGAGCACTGGGCCTTTCCTGGATACTGACTGACTGAACTAGTAATAAAATGTATGCTGGTATCTGCAGAAACCTGGCAGGGTCCCTTTGACAGTGACTTATCGGACCTGCAGCAGACCCTCGGGGATGCCTGACAGATTCTCTGGCTCCAAGTCAGGGAACATGGCCACCCTGAACATCTCTGGGCTCCAGGCTGAGGATGAGGCTGATTATTACTGTCAGCAGTGGGATAGTAGTGCTAATGCTCACAGCGACACAGACTGATGGGGTAGTGAGACAAAAACCCCCCAGGCTCTGCTCCCGCTGTGCTCTCCCCTCTGGGCTCCAGAGGTGCCTGGTGAGCACAGGACAGAGACAGCTTCTCCCTCAGGCCCCTTCTTCCCCTTCTCCCTCCCTGCTCTTCTGCCTGGGTGGCCTCTTCCCATCCCCCAAGACTCCTTCCCCAGACGTCTCCTCCTTCTTTTCTCTACCCTAGCTGCTCCCCCTCATTCCTGGGGCTGTGCTGCTTCCTGAGAGCCTCTTTCAGCTTCTCTCCAGCTTTGGCCACTTCAGGTGGAGTCTGGACCCAGATACTCCTGAGCGCCTCCTAGCTTCAGGTCAGGCAGCCCCATTGGCCCAGCTCAGGGTACTGAGATCTCAGGAAGAACTCTTCCCCAGACATAGGCCTCCACATGACCCCAAGACTCTCCCTTTTCTGCTTCAGAAAAATTATGGGATGGCCTCAGTCTCAATGTAACGTGCTAACCACAGTGATTTTGTGAGTGAGGGGAGTAGGGGTAAAGCTGGAGGCTTGAGGAGGGTGGGAAGGATGTTTGTAGGGAAAGTGATGGGGTCACCCAGACTGGGATTGAAGGGTGAGATAGAGCTGTGAAGTCTTGAGGAGAAAGATCTGGAACCCTGTGAGTGGTGAGGATGGTTCCTGGGGGAAGCTTGGGGTCACCAGCCCAAGTTAATGAGTTAATGAGTTAATGAGGTTCTTCTGCACTTTGGAGCAGAGAAGCTCTGTGGGTCTGATGGGGTTTGACCCTGCAGGAGAGTGGCCCTTCTTCCTCTCCTGCCCTGGGCCTGGGCCCTTCTCAGCTAGGCTGGGAGACCCTTCCAGCCCTTCCCAGGAGAGCTCACTCCCCTGGTCAGGAAGACCTCAGACGACCCTCATTCTTGGTCATCCCCCAGGGACTTTATGGAGCCCAGGACTGGCTGGCTGTTTTGGAATCCATCAGTCAGTCACTAACATTGACTAAGCACCCACTATGGGCTGGGCTGTGGGCCAGACACTGGCTTGCTAAAATGTGTCTCTCTTTCAGTCACTGCCTCACAGCACACCTGTTTCTCCAGCCCCAGTGTCCCTCATTGTACCCTTGGTGACCCCAGGTTTCTTTAGTGAGTCTCAAACCAGAGACCACCAAGGTCAGCGCAGACCAGAGCTTCACTCACAGAATGTCTCATGAAGAATTATTCTTGATTTGTTCAATTCTAATTTTTAAGGGACAATTTTCTTCAGTGAGCTTTTCCACTTGCTTTTTGATTTGGCCATTTTTATTGTTTTAGGCAACTTTTTTCCTTGGCAAATTTTTGAATATCTTTTCCCATGCTATCGACTCTTTTTTCATAATTCTCTTGTATCACCCCATTTCTTTTCTCAACTTTTCTTCTAGTTCTCTAATTTGTAAAGTCATTTCTAAGGTCTTCCAGGAATTCTTTTTGGGCCTGTGACCAAATTACATTTTTCTTTGAGTTTTCACATGCAGACATTTTGACACTATTGTCCTCATTTAAGTTTATGTCTTGATCCTTCCTATCGCCATAGAAACTTTGCATAGTCAAGCCTTTTTTTTTTTGGCTCACTTTTTCTGCCTTTTCTGTGATTGGTGTTTACATGTGAGAGTTGGGCTCTGGTCCTGCACTGTCCCAAGCATTAGTGCTGGGGCTCTTGGTCTTACTGCTGGCTTTCACTGGGCATCTGGGCTTAGCTACTTTCTTCCTCTAGATTGTAGGCTTCCCTTCTCCCTTGTACTGGGGGAGGGGCCTCCCTCTTGGCCTGCCTGGGGGTGGAGCTCAGCTGCTGGGTTGCTATGGAAACAGCCTCTTCACTGGCCAGTCCCACGGGCTTCACTACTGGTCAGCAACTGCATCAAGGCCTCCCTGGTGGCTTGTGCTGGGGCTGGGTCACAGTGGTGGGGCCTTGCAGAGCTGCACAGACTGCTCACTTGCCCTGGGGGCTGTTGGCTTGCAGGAGGGCAGGGCCTCCCTGGTGGATTGTCCCAGACTTGGAGCCCTGCTGCAGGCCCCCTGCTGTGAGGCTGGCTGCTGCTGCTGCTCTGGGGCCTCGCCCCCAAACTCCTCCCAGACCAGTGAGACAGACCTTCCCTGGCGGCCTGCTCAGCTGCTTCCCTGCTCCTAGATCAGGTCTGAGGTTGTTTTCTAGTTGTTTGGTGGGGATTTGGGGAGACATTCAGAGGGTGCCTTCCTCAGTCCGCCATCTTGGCACCTGAACAGCCATCACATTTGGAGAGAGGACAAAATAGGTTTTCAGGGGCACAACAGAATGGAAGGAATGAGAGGGCAGCATTGGAGGGAGGGAGGGAGGGTGCAGATGAAGGCCTGGGGAGGGGCATGGAGCCTTAAAGGGGTAGGGTCAGAGAGGGGGAAGGGGCTACCCAGGCAGAAGAGCAGGGAGGGAGGAGGGGAGAAAGGGGCCTGAGGGAGAAGCTGTCTCTGTCCTGTGCTCACCAGGCACCTCTGGAGCCCAGAGTGGAGGGCACAGTGGGAACAGAGTCTGGGGGGTTTTTGTCTCACTTCCCCATCAGTCTGTGTCACTGTGTGCATTACCACTACTATCCCACTGCTGACAGTAATAATCAGCCTCATCCTCAGCCTGGAGCCCAGAGATGCTCAGGGTGGCCGTGTTCCCTGAGCTGGAGCCAGAGAATCGGGCAGGGATCCCCGAGGGCCTGCTGGTAGTGCTATAAATCACCAGCTTAGGGGCCTGGCCAGGTTTCTGCTGGTACCAGTGTACATAGTAGCTACTAACTCCATCCCCAGCACAGGAGATGGAGGCCGTCTCTCCCAGGCCTTTGGACACTGAGGGTGGCTGAGTCAGCACATAGGAGGCCCCAGAACCTGCAAGGAGAGGAAAGAAGACATCGGTCAGAGGCAGGGGCCTCCCTCCCCAAGGGGATGCTGGCCCCTCAAGCAGCTTCAGCATGAGCTCA